GGAAGGCCATTATTAAACAAGTTTTCCTGAGTTGGAATGTCCACTGAACATCTTTATCTTTTCAGACTTTTCTCAAAAACGAGATGAGTTTCTATAATTCAAAGATTTTGACACCATTATAGAGTCTAAAAAATGGGTATATTTTTGCTTATCCATTTTATCGCAGGAACTTAAGACATATCTAAACTTCACAAGTACAGTAATTAAATATTTATGCAAAATATTGTTTAAAACTTAACCACACCATTTTCTACATTTAGTCCGTTTCATTCAATTCAGAAAATAATACAAGAAAATTTTATTTTATTCAAAGAAACCGTTACCAGGCATGATTGTTCAAGAATATTTGAACCACAGCTAAGTTTAAGACACCAAATGACATGCCGAAGTTGTTACAATGACAATTCAGAGCGCAATTTTCTATCCATTTCAATTAGCTACTATTAATGCAAGGTAAAATTCATTCTAAGAATATTCAGAACGATTTTAGCTTTTTAAAAGCAGTGTTAAAAAATGTGTATACACATCAAAGTTTTTTTTTGTACCTCAGTTTAATACATAACATTGTTCAAAAACATTTCAATATTCATGTTTGTTTTGTAACAAATGTATGTAAAAAAGAAAACTACCTGGAAACGGGACAGAAAATGACAATGTGCAAATTGTAATATTCAACATATGTCAATTACTTGAACAGTGATTTCTTGCAAGTTTTGGGTTCCATTCTCAGCAAACGAGAGGAGATTTAACAAACTGATGCAGGATTTATTTAATTGGTTGGCATGTAACAGATACAGATTAGAAAGTTGTAGAATTCTGTCTACATATATACTTCAGGTAAAAGGCAAGTAACATGCACAGAAAGGTGCGTTTCCACTGAGTGAAGGAATGCTCTTCCTCCCCCCATTTTTACTCAGTTTTGCAGAAAAAACTGTCCAATTGCGGTTGCTCGGGCAAGATTAGTTGGCAGAAGTGGACACAGGCATACTTGCTCGCTCGCTCGCTCGCTCACTCATTGATACAATGGACAAATTGCTTCGAATGTGCCATTCCCTACTTGCACTACTTCTCTCGCTGTTGCAAGGTTCAGAACACAATCCAATATTCAAGGCATAATGCACAATGAAATTAGAAACTATGATTGAACTACATTTTTAACCAAGACTGTCAGTTGGTTAATATATGTGGCGAATAAAATAGATTTACCATCAATATGCACCAGACACTCAATACTATTGTGAATTTACAATGAATGTCAACCGTTTTCAAATCTCTCTTTCAAGTTTTTGTGCATTTACTAATTTCAGTCAAATTGGTAAGTCTTTTAGAGGAGACTATCTTCATTTCAAAATGTACAAGGTAGTGGATGTTTTCATTAGTAATTTCTTACTAAATAAAATTCAAACAATATTTTTAATAAAATAATAAAAATGTCTTAATAATTTTCCCTGATTACACGTAAAACTAATTTATGGTTATTTCATCATGGGTGATTTAAATCACCATAAGACTGTCCCAACATTGCAATCCTTGGGTAGCAAATGAACTTCGTGTCAAAATCCTTGGGTAGCGAATGAAGTCACTTTGTGGAAACTGGCTACTGTTCCTTCTGAACATCTTTCGAACAAATAAGACTTATCCAGGAGCCACTCGTTCGCTCAGTAGAAACGTTACCTTGTAGTAAGCATTACAATTTGGTTCATCAACTACACATTCACACCACAATCAAGAACCTTCATCTTAGCCCCCCGAAAAAAACTCACTTCTGGTATCTTTGAGAAAAATACTCCCATTCCATTGTTCAACTTATTACTTTTGCCATAAATACCCCTCCGATCTGAGCAGTGCAACACACTTGTGTTGGTGAATGGATTTGTGGCAATTATTTTTAAATAGTGACCAATATTCATTTTAATACTGTGAAGCAATGCATTGCACAGAAAAACTCTTTTACCAATTTCCTTGTTCCAATTTTATTGTTGGCACAACGTGTAATAATCCTATGTATACACAATAGCTGTCCATTACACTCTTATGTCATCTTGTGTGAATGTATCCTGTCAGAACACACGTTTCTGAAGAACTATGCATCGGAATGGATGAGACCCTCACGAGTTCTTATAAATAACAGCAAGGTAGTGTGTGGGAAAATTACCTTCTTGGAAACAATATCACAGCTATGACAATCTTAAGTTGCCCAACTCTCCTCTCCTCCTAGACAGAACGTGTTGGCTTCCCCAGAAGTATTTACATTAACATAAAATATGAAAATTACTTTATTTATATTAAAAAGCAATTGTATTGACAAGTAATAAATATGAAAACATTGTTTTGAGAGAAGAAAGGTATCACAATCGCTGGTTTCTTCTTCTAAAAGTCCAGAGATTATCAAAAAGTAAAAATAATGGTTATGACCATTGCCCTTTGGCAGTTTCCGCCAAAAATAGCATTTTTTCAATCATGTTCTTTAAAATGTAAAATAGCATTAAAAGTTAACATACGAGAGAAAAACAAAAGAAAATTATAATAATAATAATATATACAAGTACAATAGTATTCCAATACAGAGTAAAATTATGAGTGATGTTTACAGTTACCACCAAAAATTGGTTCACAATAGAAAAGCCATTCACAATATTCTGTACACTTTTTATGGAGAACGTGCTCCAGCACAAATGATTTTCATCTAAGGTTCTTTCAACAGCATTTTCAAATATTCATCATAAAATACAATGGTATGACATGGCCAAATTTTATTAATCAGCATGCAACAGAAGAGAAAAAATACAACAGTTAAACTAAACATCCCGGACATGTGAATTTTTAATTATGCCGAGTCGGTCCAGGACGCTTTATTTTTCGACTGATTTGCTCTTCTGCCACCAACTGAGCGCGGAAAGCATCAATCTTTTGATGCAACTTACTTAAGGCCTCTTCCTTTTCTACCACCAGTTGCCGTAATTGTTCCGAATATGCTGAAACAAAGTGAAAGTTCTTTCTAAGCTACACTAATGGCAGAAGACGATTACTACAACCATACTTACGAAGCTAACACCAAACTTTTGTATTAAAAGCCATACAGCATTTAAAAATGAAATTATTTCAACTCACACAATTGTTAAAAAAGCAATTATTAACAGTTTCAATTTTAATGAAAGATAGAAAATTCTGATATATTCTTGCTCCACAAACTTTGTCCCAACCAATAATTGTTTCACAAGTATTTGAAAGAAACATCTAATAAAAAAGAAGATACAAAGAATTGACATAAATATTGTCTGAATAAATTTTGGTATGAAGTACAGCTTCTTTCATAGAATGTGAAAGTCATACTACGAAGTGTAATGGATAAAACTAAACCATCAACATAAAAAATGCAGCATTAGTGAGATGGAAATAGTTCAAACGAATAAAATAGTACACCTGTTAGACGTGCTCGTATCGTTTAAAAAGAGTAATTAAGGTACAAACGCCACACTACTAAGCATTTTCAGATGATTATGATAAATTGGTAAATAAGAAAATTAGAAAAAAGCAAAAAATCTTCACCTTAGCTTCAAAATTTGTTAACTTTTGTTACTGCACATGCACCATACATTGTTGACATCACAATGCTAAAACAATTCAGCAGTACATTTATTTGTTCCCAATAAAGAAAAAAGAAATGTAGTTTAAGAAAATGTTTATACTATATTCTTTAACTGCCCCCTTCATCTTCAAATTAGTATTAAGAAGGAAATTACAAAAATGTTAACGGTCAGATGTGATGTGCAAAAAACCAACTCGTGCACACACACACACACACACGCACACTTCTGAGTGGTGGAATTCCCTTTGAGCGATGTGCAATTTGCAATGCTTAATTAGGGATTGGAAGAGCCAATGCATGACCTGGAAATAGATGATAATAGGATTTCTTCATTTTCTAAAAAGTGTTTAACATTATTATGCATTGTATTAATGCTAGTTGCATTATATTATTATTATTATTATTATTATTATTATTATATATTATTATTATAATAATCCAAAGCATTATTGATCAGTAACCCGATTATAGAAAATTATTTTAAAGCTGTGCAGTGCAACAAACAAAAGCTAATTTTGACATACATCAGCCAGAAGTAAATATAACCTAATGGAGAAACAAAACTATCTATCCAATCTCTGTGTGTAATACTAAAAAAGCAAGCATTCCCCAAAGTCACCAAACATCAAGTTAGCTACACACCATCTATTCCAGATTGGGCAAGTTTTCGCTACATTTTACTGATATTAGTTTTAAAATTCTCCTGAATTTGCCCTGTGTATAGCTACTCTTAAATATTTGGCAAACAACATCCTGAAAGAAATGAATAATCATTTAAGCCCTTATTAAAATCCCCAGCTTTAGTTCCACCACCCAGGCTAGTCGTCCTACAAAACAAAACAAGGCTCACTAGTACATGAGGAATCCCTACCAAACCGTGTTTCAAGAGCCTTCCGCCGTTTACGATAGCGAGACCATATCCTACGTTGATCTGCAAGAGAAACAATAGTGAAGATCTCCAGAGCCGACTTACTCCAAGAAATGTTTGGATGCGTATGTAACTGATGCTTGTTCAGTAAAAAATCCAAAGACATTCTGGAGAAATAGTACATGCGAGCAGATTTTATTTTGAATGATTAACATTCTCTCTTCAGTACATGTGTTTGAGAACGAAACCTATGCAGCCTTGTTTAATAAAAATATTTGAAAAACAGTGAAAATACAAGTCTTCTGACAAATTTTTCAGGAGTGAAAAATAAAACCATCCACTGAGATCGTAAGTTAATTACTAGAGAAAAGATATATATTGTATCACTATTTTCTTTTAAAAAAATTAAAACAAAAATTCTGAATGTGAAATTCAGATACTTTAAAAAGTTTGAAAACCTGAACATTTGTACTGTTGAAAAAGAAAAAATATTGATGAAACTGAAAAACTACACAAAAAGTTCCATAATCTGAATAATGAAGGCCATTTTCAACAAAAAATGTATTGTTTTTTAATGACAAACTATTGTTGTACAATCTGTTTCCAGTTAAAATATTACCAAATAGTAAACATTTAGGTTAAACTTCTGGAAAATTCAACATATATAAAATGAAATTCAATGTTACTACACTACCTACAATACTGGAGGATATTTGTTAAAGTAAGCGAAAAAAAGACAGAAATAACTTATATGAACATTCTGTTTAAGTTTTTTCTCTAAATGAAATTTATATTTACATGTATGTGACCACCACTTATGTAAGAACAAACAAGCCTAATAAAACAAGTAATTCATAGACTGGAAAGCATTTCAACATTATCACTACAGATTTGGCTTGTGAACTGTCATGAGGATGGAATAAGCAATAGTGATGGAATATTTGTTGTTGCATGTAGGAAAAGAAGTGTATAACCATTAATAAAAATATAATGTACACATTTATTTGGAATGTCCTGACACACACACGCCACAATATATGTACTCTCTCCATATAAATATAATACAATAACTTACAAAGTTTTCTAAGCCAGTTTTTAAAATACTTGCTAGTGATACTGATAAATGTGACAATATATCATTACAATTTAAAACTGTAATCATACATTCACAAGTAAATATATATAATAAAAAGCCTTTACATTTAAATTGGTTTATGGTCTAATGATGCAAAAAACGTATTCAAGGAAGAAATATTTTTTTAAGCTGAAACCTGAATTGTTCAATCCAAACTGCTTTTCAAAAGCATGTTTATAATAAAAAAATCAAAATTATAACAGCTGGCAAAGGCAACAGTACACCTCCAATCCAATTGTAATTTCCAGAGCAGCTTTTAACGAAACGTTATGAAATCATAAGGTCAAGAAAACCAAATGTGCTTCTTCATCGTGACAGATCTCTCATTTTTCATAAAATAGAATACGAATTCAACAATTAACAAATTACACTGATTTTACTATTGCCTTTAGTTTATAGAGGCGGTACTATTGTCTTCTGCACAAATTAAAATTATTGATTTTGACTGTGTTAAATTTTGATGAATCACACACTTCATTATAGTATCACCATACTTTTAAGTAAAGTAAACAAAATGAAGTATTGCCATAGTATGTACAAGTGAGAAATATAATCTCAATTATGCTTCTATACAAAAACTATACAGGAAAACGTTTGGAATAAAAATTTAATTTTCCATTTTAGTTCCTTCCATGCACAAATATACTTGTTAGTCACTTTTTGACATTGTCTACCACCCATTCATTTACTAGAAAATAAGAACTCTTCATGGGACTTTTCTGAAGGACCTACACTAATGATCCCAAGTATAAATAAGAATAAAAACAGCAGTATACATTACAGGAAGGAAACAGAAAGTCATGATCGAGCAAAATATTGAATAGAGCACAGATTGCTCCTTGTTGGCCTGATTACAAGTATCACTGGAACTATTAAAACATTTATTATCATTGTTATTAATGTTAGAATAATTCATTTTATTTAATTGCTTCAAAATTGGACTACTGAATGAATCTAAACTATCTTTTGGCCGTTTTTTCACATTAAAACATCCTAACTTTTTGCAAACAAGTGGACTCTCATGCAAGAAACAAGCAGGTGCATTTTTACAAGTTACACTTAAAGTGCTTGGTAAGTACAAGTGCATGCCATTCTCACCATCCTGATCATAATCCACTTCGTGAGTCAGTGCAAAGAGACTTGCATCAATATCCTTCCAGCGCCCATCTTGTGCTTCCATTACATTTTTGTGAGCATCGAGAACTTCATCCTCTAATTGCTGCAGCTGTGAAACTGCTTCATGGAACGTATACAAATCTGGGGTGATCTCTCCTGCCTAAAAGAAAATAACACATTTTACTAACACACACAAGTCTAGCATGTCTGAAAACAAACATAATAAATTTAATTGAAACGAGATTTTCTGGCAGCATTTTATGAACAGCCTTAGGAGACTCAATATTCAACATTCATTAACAAGACTAAATGAAGAGCAGGAGGAAGAAGAGGAAAAAGAAGAAGCAGAAGAAAATGGCAAACAATCACTGGATCCTAAAGAGAAAGGGGAGGTACTGAGAACCCCCCCCCCCCCAAAACCTTCAAAATGTAAGGAAACATATTTATTCTGTTATTACAAGCTTTTTGCATTACGCAGTTGAATCGTTCATTTAATATTATTGTTTTATTACTATTAGTATGTCATAAGAGCAAAGAAAGAAAACCTCCAATGAAATGTAAAGATTTCACTTAGATTATATCCAACATTATGTCCATTGACACTGTCAGCTGTGATAGTTTTGCCTAATTTTAGACTATAGTGATATTCAAGCACCTGATTGGATGATATCACTATAGCTGATGAAGTGTCAACCAACTTAATGTTTTAATTGAAGTATAAGTAATAATCATTCGTGCAAAAGTGACAAAAACCAAAACTGTAGTCAATGTCAGAGTACCAGGCAATTCAATCTCCAAAGATATGAAGTAGCAAAAACTAATTTGAACATTTCTAATTCCTACAGTAAATTTACAGATTTTTAGACAACTGGTTTATAAAATTTATTATTCATTAGGAGTTCCAATAGATTGCAGTAATTTGCCAAAGTCAAACCAAAAGGATTTTAGACCTAAACATAAATGATTCTGTGTCACTACCATATTAGAAATAATTGAAAACTTTTGTTTAGTCTTATTTTGATTTTAGTACGTAAAATTAGTAAACTGACACAGCACAGAAATCAGAATTATTTAACATTTTTTTTTGCCTTTTACATTGTATTAAAATTTACTTTGAAGTGTCCATTGGTTCACCACAAAATGTTTCTATATCATTGCAAAAAAAGTAATTATTTTATTAGCATTTACTTAAGTGACACCTTCAGTATCTTTTTAAGTAAATCAAATTTATTTCTGTATAACTTTCTCACATGGCGATTTAGATTCTTAAAAATCTTTAGATTTTGGCAGGAATTTATATAACCCGAATGGCAATTTGGGTTCTCATTCCCATTTTATCTTCAGCCAGTTGACCATTACCTTCGGTATCAATTTTCTTATATTCTACCTAAGTATCCGATGAAGGAAACATCAGGAAACAAAGAGACTTAACGCAAGTGTTTCTACAGAATCCGGGAGAGCAACCTTCCTTACTTTTTCTAGCAGAACAAGCCGCCATGAAAAGTGTGTTTTTGTTATCGTTCCTGAGATCTTTGACCAAGACAATTAGCATAGTGTATAACTATCACAAAATCACTGAACATACCAGAAATGCTTGTTCAAGAACTTCAACGAAGTCATCTGAACCAAATGCGTAAATAAAGCTGCAATATTTTGGTTTTGCTGAACTTCCTGCTTTAATAAAGTCGTAAGTCACGTAAGGGAATCTGAAGATCATAGGGAGAAAAAATCCAAACAGACCTTTTATAGACAGATACGAGTGACAATTACTACATGTAAGAATTGCACTCTTTTAGATGTAATGAATACGGTATACAAAAGGAACAGTTGGAAAAAATAAATTACAGGGAATTGACTTATTGGAGTAGACCATCCAAGAAATATTCAATATTAAAATCAAAGAATTGATATAGGGCTAGTTCTCCTTTGTTAACAGAACAACACTAGATTGTAGCAAAGCACTTGCAAATTTACTATAGGACTTCTTTACAATATTGTAAGATTTAAAAATATACTAAATTCCATGCCAATATTTGTTACTATTAACATAGGGTCTTCTCTTACATTTTTTATTACAATTATTTTTATAGGTTGTTCCTGTTATTTTTAAAATTACTTTTATAATAAAAATCATTTTATAATATTAATTTAATATTATTATTATTATTCTGCTTTTACTATAAGTATTGACATTATTAGCATCTGAATTATAACAAGTTCTAAAAAATAACTAGTGTGGGGACCTTTATTTGTCTTTCCTCAATTAATTACTTTTGTTTTTAAAGTCCTGTGAAGTGGAGTTGAGTGGGAATGGAGTAAAGTACACATCAAATCTTAGAAATAAGGTAAAATATGTGCTAATATTTTAAGAAAAAGACCTTGATACCTCAAGGAACATTTGTATAATACAGTAATAAGACCAGTAATCTGAAGGTAAATGAGCTCCTATAGTATAGTGCCAAGAGTTGGATGTTAACCAATAGACTAATGTGAACCAATGCCCTGGGAAAGGAGAATCTTTAAGATGCATTTTAGACCCTACCTATGAAAATGGACATTAGAGGGTGAAGAGTAATTTAAGAACTGGCCAATACATATAAAACTTCAGACGTTGTAGAAATCGAGGTCAAAAGACTACAATGACTCGGCCATCTTTTATGAATGGAAGAAGAAATAATCCCCCAAATTATCTTCTGCACAGAACTCTAAGGATGAAGCAAGAAAGGAAGACCCCGTTTAAGAAGACTAGATGATGTTGCAATGAATTTGAGATCAGTGGAATAAGGGGATAAAAGGTGAAGAGAGAAAGGGAGAAATGGAGAAGAAAGGTAAAAGAGACAAGTGAATGGGCATTGATAGTTCGAGATGCCAAGGCTAAACTTAAAAGGCAGTAGTGAGACAGAAAAATTAAATACATGTGTATGTACATTTTTTAATTTTTCTTTATTACATTTAATTCCATTTCTCAGTGATTATTATTCCATCTACTAGAGTCGCAAAGTAAATTTTGCTGTAGATTTTTAATGAAACAACTCCCATTTGAACAAATCTGCTGCTCTTTAGTGGCACTATAAACTAGGACTGTACAAACGATTGAAGACTATTCACTCAGCAATTAACAATGTCTTTCAGAATTTTTAAAAACCTACTTCCAGTGCTGGTGAGCAACTGAAATTTGGTGCATAATTTTTTTGATAAGTACAATGGGGTAAAAAAAAAGAGGAAGGGCATATTTTGACATGCAGTCTCTAAGCATTCCTTGATCTAAATTAGAATTCATTTGCTTAGTTTTAATTGTATTCAAAATGTTTGTGACAGTATTAGTCCAAAGCAAACACTCAATAAAATCACACTTAAATCCAACAGTTTAAGATGTTTAAATATTTTATTAACTTACAAAACATTCCACTTGGAAGCAAGATTGCCTCTCATTGGTATATGGCATATTTTGTTCAACTAGTTTTAGAACAATTATGTTGCAATAGCAATATAACATGAATTTCAAGCAAAAAATTAATCAACATGGTTAGTATTTACATAAATGAATAGTATTGAGATTGTGTGTTCCAAAAAGGAGTAAAATCTCTAAACTACTAACCAGCCTACACAACGATGCTTTGTTAAACCCTGAAACACACAAAAAAGAGATTGACAACACTTCTTTATTCAATAAAAGGTGTGGCACACAAGACCAACTCACATTTATTGATTTATGAAGCATCCAAGTTTACATAAAACCCATATTTGTTCTGGTTTTGACATACAAGTTAGTTTGTTAAATGGTGTACACAGAACCCAGAATACAATTGCTTAATTATAAAACTGTACATGACGTTTGAATGTTAATGCACGTGGCCAATGATTTCAAGGAGAAAGGTCTACGAAGAACAACTACAAGCAAGAATGTCTTAACAACAATTCATCACACACTTCGCATTCATTACACACTCCTCAATCTGGAATTTTCTTCTTTGAGAATTAAAGTTCAATACCTACTCAAAACTTTACACCATATGTATTTCCTGGAAACCTTGAAGAAAAAAATGTCACAATGAAAATTGCACATTGATAAACAAAATTTTCTAGCACATAATATTAGCAAACTACTTTCAGGTCTTAATTTTGGTTCAACTGTTCATTTAAATAAATAAAATTTTTACCATCATTAGCAGACATTAAAGTCTTAAAGCGGTTTTACTTACATTAAGAGACCGCAATTGAGCAAGATCACTATCTTCCAATGCTCCCTCAGAATTCAGATCTTCTTCCACAGGAGATTGTTTGGATTCACTTGGATCAGTAACAGCTAGTTCCTTAACTCTATCAGCATACCGAAGGGTGTTAAGAGAATGTTCACAGGAACTCATACCTGGACTGATCATAGCAATCTAAAATTGAAGACCAAGCAAAAAATATTAAAAACGTAGACAAAGAATCTGATGTAATTTCCATGTTCTCTTCAATATCAATAAACATTTCTCATAATGACATCAGCTTGTGTCAATACTGTACTGATCATTTCTACAAATAAATATTTTTTTTTATTTGAAGCAGTTAATTTAACTGTGTGGAAAATAAAATAAATAAATAAAATAATAAAACACAAGCATTAAAATAAAAAATAAAAATCCCAAAAACAAATGGCTAATCAGTAGAACAACTGAAGGTAATCCATTGACTGCTGGCTTAAGGTATTAACTTTCCGTAATACACTCTTTGAGAACTCACAAAGATAATGTGAAAGTTGAATCACATACCAATGGATTGTTCATTCCAATAATAATTTACATTCAGTTAGTGCATGCAGCAAGACAGGTTTTTGGAGAGGATTTTGATTGGCAGGAAACTAACAAGCCTCAATGGAAAAAAATCAATTTTACTTCATTGATGAGCAATTTTTAAAAATTTGTCATAAATAACGTATATTACACGATGGCTTGACGAATACCTCAGTGTTGTTCTGCAAACTAAAAATGAGCACAAGGGTACATAGGCAGTCAATTGGCAAGCACTAACTATAGTAAGAAGAAAAGTTTCAGTGAGTGATGAAAAGCAAGGAACTACAATGCAAAATTAGTATAAAAAACAATATAATATTGAAAGACAAAAGAATCAGTTTTAAAATTCAAAGCTAAAGCAAATGGTAGCCTAGGTAAAAATCAAACCCTTACCATACATGTTCTTGATTTTTCTCCTATAAATGAATCTCTTAGTACTTGAGTCAGTTTACTAGCACGGAAAGGTAAATGAGCTCCTTTCCTGCCAAGGGCTCTAATACATTCCTTTAGCGCAAGCAATGACTTATTAATTTCAGCACCTTCCATTCCTGTTCAGAAAACAAACAATTTCAATTAATTCTACCCAGTACTAAATCAAAAATCTATGAAAGCAAATGATTTAACTCCAGTCCAAATTGTGTCAGGTGTATGGAGGCTGCTAAGAGTGTGAACACAATTTATCCCAATATTTGAAATCTCTCCTCAGTCAGAGGTTGAGGAGAAAGGGTTAGAGTTGTATGCACACCACATGAGAGTTCTTGATTCCGATAAACCAATGGACGGCAAAACGTCTTTCTGTCAGTCTGACCACCACCACCACCTAAATCAAACATTCAAATTTTTCCAAAATAGATCTTCCCCGGTTGATCTTGCTCCACCCAAGGCGAGGCAACTTTGAAACTTTAAATTTTTCCTTAATTTTCTTGTAAGAACACAGTAAAATACACTTATAAAGGTGGCTGAGAATTTTTTTAACATGGCACATACTGCACGAAACCTAAAATTTACCAAAAAATGTGTATGACATTCATAAAAGAACTCGCTATGGGAAAAAAAGAAGAAAAAAAATTGATTGATTATAGAATTCAGTTAACTGTAATAATCTGACTTAGCCACCTTTATAAGTGTATTTTACTGTGTTCTTACAAGAAATTTAAAGAAAAATTTGAAGCACAATTATCTATATGCTACTTTAAATAGCATACACTTCCCACTTAAGAGTTGTGGTAACTGGTAATTCCTAGGCATTTTAGGATCCAATGGGTTCCCTAGACTTCCTCACAGGACATTGAAGATTCTTTCCTCCATTTACTATCAGCAATGCTAAATTGCTTCATTGTAATTTACACATTGTGTGTAAAGTTTAATAGAGCTCCTGAGAGCTATTAATGAGATAGTCAGTAGATCGCCTCGAGACGTGATCCCAAGGGTCCTGACTGTAAAACTTTATATAGCCCCAGAGGTTCCCACCACCACTGCCAGGATTCTGATGTCGGTACTCCATGAAGTTGGGCTGCCAGGGGGACGACTGGTTGGAATTTTACCACCTTTTCCTCCCCTGCTTTCAGAAAGCTAGACCCATCCTCGTGGCGGACAGTCACATCGACCACGTGGACCCCTTCCTGGCTTTTTATTACCGTGCCATGTTTAAGTCTAACCCCTTTTGAAATGGAGAAAGTGGCTTCCATGGACACCACCGTGTCGAATTTCTGGAGCATCTTCCCTTCTATGAAATTTTTTATCTTGTCATGACACTATTCTTGCTGGATTCATAAAAATGTCCTGACCAAGGATGTGATTCATGGTTTCTACTGTTGTATTGCACTTTCTGCAGTAAATATCCTCTCTGGGCATTCCTCTACAAACAAGAGTTTTATTGGGAGTGGTATTTCATCTCGGTTGGAGTGCAGTGATAAAAAGACCAGGTTTCAGAAGATGATAATCTTTCAAAAAGGCATTTTCATTTAGATCGTTTATATGCGCCCTAACCACTCTCCCTTGGGATCCCAGCTTGACCCAGGCAGCTACCTTGTCGTCGGTGCATTTCTTCTTATAAGCCCTTAAATCTTATTTGGAATAGGGCCAGATGAATCTCAGTGATTTTACGGTCTTTAATGTCTGTTGGTAATAACTCTGACAGGAGCTCAACCATCTGCAAATAGGATCTGCAGATATTTCTAATCGTAATCCTAGGTTCAGCACAACTCTAGGAACGTGTTGGACAAGCCACAGCAATCTCAGTCCTCCATCTCTCTTAGCCAGATAGAATAAGCCATCTGCAGTACTCATATGCAAATGTAGGAACTGTTTTAGAGGGAGTAATTTTCTATATATGGGGACAAAATATATCCCCTTTACCATTACAAAGTCTTGGTAATAAGATTTTTGCTGTCTAAAATTAGGGTTTTCCTCCTCAGCGTAATATATTTTCTCTGCAGAATCAGGTTTCGCCAAAATATAGAAAAGTAAGAAAAATTTAGAAAACCCTCCTTTTGTTTTTAGATGATAAAAATCTGACTTTTTGTAACAGTTGCTAAATTGCTACTTTCAAAACACAGTCAAACAATTAAGTATTGAAGCTTTAAAACTATTTGGTTTTATTACCATGAAGGTTTCCATTTTTCAGAGATCAGTTGCAACAGTTATTGTTACCTTTTTTCTCCTTATTCATTCAAAACATAGATTTATGTATTTATGAATTTGAAATATAAGTTGTTTTGTTGATTCCAACATTCCACTTAAAGTCAGGTACATCTTTTTTTTTGATGAAAGATGTATTTTCCCAGAACTTTGTAAGAAAGGAAAGAAAGAAAAGGAAGAAAAACAAAACACACACACACACAATTGCTCCAATGTTTAAAAACAAACATTCCTCAAATAAAGCAATGAATGCTTTACAGAATTTCACAGGCCCTGAATTCTAAAAAAAATGGGAAAGTTACTAACAATACGAGAAAGAATATGGTGTTGGAGCACATGTAGTTTGTGGTCTCAATGATGCAACACTCGCACAATACTTAACACAATCCACACACTGAAGCATTTTGAGTTATTTTGTAAAAAAATACTTGATAGGGTAGGAGAAAAACTTGAAAAATGACTGGGTATTTGGGAGTTTAGTTGGATTTCATAGGGTTGTATTAGGGAAAACAATGTTTTAAATTTAGTTCATACAAAATATAGATTTTTCATAATTCTGAACATCAAATTGAAGTTATCAGTAAGTAAATATTTAGTACATCCAAATATTAACACCTCCCCTCATCTTGAACATTACTGGACATAAATTTTTGTTATTGATGCTATGTGCCATTTAATTTAATCAAGGAAGAAATTATAATTGTCAATGCTAATAAATGAAATTTGAATTTACTGTCCATTTACTTACTTATTGTAATTTTGTTCTTTTTAGTACTAGTTTTTATGCCTTTATTGAAATAAATACTGAATTTTCAATTAATATTTCGACATATACAATTATGTCCAGTTATTTTACTAAAACATTCATTTATTTTTATGGGTTGAGGGTTTGGTTTTGGTTTTATGGTATGAGCGAGGGGGCAAAAAAGCCAGCCTCAGTCTTACTCATGGTACATTAAGGAGTAATTCACTGTTTACTTTGTCTGATATGAGCAAATATTTTAAGCACTCTGGAAATGAACAAATATGCACTATCCACTGCCAACATCATTTCCTTCTGCATTTGTGTCACCGGGTAAGCAATAGTCTTTACCTTCTCACTGTCGAGTAACAAAGTTTGCATCTTACTGTGAAGTTTATTTGGTTATGTGTGGTGTGTTGTGTTGTGATTAAAACTAAATTTTCAATACTAGCAAATAAATTGTATTTTCTAAACAGTTTACTTTGTTTTGTACTTTTGTCTTTGAACGGGTTTGTTGTGATTAAATTTGAGTTTGTAATGGATATTTGAATACATACAATTATAGGTTTTGTTATTTTGATTGTAATAATTAAACAAAAACTTGCAACGTTTTTTAGTTTCATAAATTTTTTTATTGGTATAGTTAAAAAAAGGTTCACATGGGTTTTTTAGAAGGCCATGAAAATATAACCTACGCTGATTTTGGTGCATACTTTAAGACACATTTTAAAATTTTTACTACATATAGTCTTGGCTCATACAGTCTAAATAAGTTGTTAAAATAGTTTAATTTGCAAATGAGAGAACTACCGTAATGAACATGTTAACTGACTAGTAATATTTCATCCTTATTTATACTCAGCAAAAATTGAGTGTTTTTAAACACACATTCTTTACCATGAAGCTCCTTGAACTTTTGTCTTTAGATCTACAACTTAAAAAATAAAACAACTAATTTCTTACTTGTTTGACGATCTGCAGACGATGTGTCAGCACCTCGCTCATTACCAGCTAAATCAATAAGTGAAAATTTTCCATGGACTTTATTAATGCCAGGTATCCGAAGAACAATTTGGAACACAGCATGAGATCGTGAAGAATTAGAATTAGCTGATGTTTGCCCCGAGGTCCTATATCAAGACAAACATTTCTCATTATTATTACTGAAAAATGTCTCTGATATAGATTAACATCACAAAATGGGCTTCAGTAACACACCTTGCGTTATTGCCATGTTGAATAAGTTTCAAAACTTCATCCACTGAGTCCACAACTTTTTCTGTCAGGGCCACTATTTGCACTTGTTGCTTCCCATCTTCAAGTACTCTGAGTTTTGCCTTGTTTGCTAACAAATCAAACACTTTGCCACTATAAATTTCAAAGAAACTAGCCGACACCACCAAATTTAATGGTTTGTATTTTGGAGACTTCAAGAGCTTGAAAACGTCTTTGGCAGCCATGGCGTAAATTCCTTTCTTACAGTCTTGAGTTTTACCATGGAAATTACCACCCATTGTATGTGTCTTCCCACTTCCTGTTTGACCGTAAGCAAAGCAAGTGGCCATACCACCTTCAAATACAGTCTGAACTAATGGTTGTGCAGTGTACCTATAACAAAGAAATGAATAATTAATCAAAGCCATTTCAAGCTCTTTTCAATCAAACAGGTTTTTGATTTATACTTACTTATAAACTAATTCATTAGAACAGGTGTCATCAAAAGCATAATCAAATCTGAATTGTTGATTTTCTAAATACTTTGTGAGGTCCACCTTTTGTTTGGGTTCATGAACTACCATTTGATCCTTTGTAGGAACTGATATTACATCCACTTCTTTCCTTTGTAATTCTGCAACATAAGAGAATTATAAGCCATTACAGAATTTTTTTTTCTCTTGCCGTTCTAAAAATTAAAAAAAAAAAAATACCTTTTTTATTTAGAGGTCTTTTCCTAATGCACACTGTGATTTGATGATCTTCAACAGGATCAGTTTCCCTCAACGGTCGAAATTCTATGTTACCCCTATACTCTCTGAAATTGAAGCAAAAAATATTATAAGATCACATTTCAATTAAGAATCCAATAATACATCTAAAATAAGCTATTCCTCAGAGTTGAAACACCAGACAGACACTTGCATAACAATAATACACACACTGTCATACATTTCATATTATAAGTTATGATTTAAGAAGTTGTGTTTAATTTCCCCCCCCCCCTCACCTATTTTCTAAAGGAAAATAAAATAAAAACAACCAATCACATACATACACATTATTTAAAGAAGGTGTTCTCAAATTGGACTATGTATCCCTAGACCATAGATTTGTAATGGGAACATAAATTAATTCCATGGGGAGATTTGAAAAAGGGAGACAGTTGAAATGTTCGAGTATACTCTAGTTATTGAATTACACAAAAAACTAACTCTCTTGAATTTCAGAGTTATAAGAATTTAGTTTTAGTTATAATTATACATAACAATTCGAATAAGGTCCCAAACCAATTATTTTTGCAACATTTGTTCAAACAAAATATGATATTCTTACATGAAATGGCCAGACACACTTTACTATGTGACAAGTTCAGTTTTTTCCACGTATTCCTTGTATTTACAACGTAAATGTAAATGGAATTTATCAACACATTCAAAACCATCTTGATAATTAAGCCAGAAAATAATCTTAAAAATACTATCATTTAGAGGAATAGGAAAATACATAATGGCTATTTTCTTAGGTGATGTGGTGTTTGTTTTTTTCACTCCTGTAGTTCTATTTCTTCCAAATAAGGTATTAATTGTAAGAAGTTTCTTGTTCCTTAAACCGAAAGTGCCAACAATAGGTAGACAAATGCCAGTACCTGTAATTTATATCTCTGATATGACCTTTTTTCAATATGAATGATCTAAAAGTTATTTACTGAAATAAATATTTGATTAGTTTGTACATGTCCTCCAATGCAATTGTTAATGAATCCAACACTGCAGAAACCTTGTCTGAATATGTAATTCCACAATGATTTTGAATAATTTGATAAACTAACAACTGTTACATTAAAAAAAAGAAAAGAAAATCCTGTCTATATTTCTGTTTTTCTACAGACGTGTCCTAAACATCATCTTTCTCTTTGATATTAAATTGTGACAGTATAATGATATAATTGTTTCCAGATCCACATTATTTTGAGATGATTGTATTGTTTGTTTAATTGATATTTGTTCCATAATTACTCACAACTGAAAACATGTTTATGTTTTATACTTTAAAATATTATAAACATAAAATAACTCAAATTTTCAAGACTTACCGTATCATGGCAAGAAATTCCCAGTTGGGATTTCCTGGATCAATATTCATTAAAACTTCTTTTTCTTCTTTAAGTTCTGCCTGACGCTGTCTTCTCTCTTCACGATTCTTCTTTAGCCTTTCAACCTCTTTCACAACATTGCTACGTCTTTTTGCTACTGTGTAACAAGCATAAGTAGTATTAATACATAAGAATTTTACTCTCCACAAAAACAAAAAAACCTTCTATCAAATTAATTACCGTTTTGATTTTCTGCTTGTTGCTGCTGTTGTAAAAGCTGTTGTTGCTGCTGTTGCTGTTGCTGTAATTGCTGTTGTTGCAAGGCAAGTTGGGCTTGCAACTGCTTTTGCTGTTGAATTTGTTGCTGCAGTTGTTGCATCTGCAGTTGATGCTGCTGCTGTTGAAGTTGCAGCTGTTGCTGCTGCTGTTGCTGGTGACGAGTCATCACTGAGGATCCAGACAAAGAGTTTGACTGTTGATCCCCAACACCCTCCAGCTGAGTGTTCTCCACAACTGATTGGGAGTGCTGTTCGCCGTGGCCATTGAGCACCCCCGTGGCCCGAACGCCGCGACCCCGCAACGGACGATCTGCAACACGAGAGAACAACGTACTACCCGATGCAAAGGTACCAAATTTCAATAAGTCGCGGAAACAATGAGGGAAGAAAAGAAAACAATTAGGTTTTGGTGGAGAAGAACCTGCTGGGACGACAAACACACATATGCCCTTCTCTTCAGCTACCGGCAGGGAGGCCTTTCCAGAGGCTATCCTATTGTGAGCGAGCTTTTGATAGAGACAAGACGAGAAGCACATGAGAGGACGGGCAAGGCGCGTTTGGTAAGGCGGCTGGGGCGGCAGTAGAGGCACTGACGACCTAAGCCATCCGCACGCATCGACCGTTGCGTGCCCAGCGCACTCTCCTCCGCCCCGCCCCCTCTAAGAGCCCTTAGGAAGAGGCAACGCCAGGGCGCGCGCTTTACCTGTCGGCCACTTCCGCAATCCCCGTCGCGGGCGCGAGTGACAGTCGACGCCGCTGCTGCCGTCGCCGTCGCCGCGCGGCGCGGCGCGGCGCGTGCAGGGGGCAAGGCGCGGCGCGCTCGCTCGCGGTAGGGGTGGGGGTGGGGCGAAAGTTGTAGCCAGCGCGACCAGTGGCTGCAGCGCCCCACCCTCGTCCCTCGGATCGACCCACCATCGACATCAAGGGCAGTGACCGCGCTCTGCGGCGGCGTCCGCCACCCACGCACGCAGGGCCGCTCGCGTCGCGCGGCACAAAACCTCCGCCCGAAGGAGGCGACGCACGAGCGGCAATCGATGGGCCCGGGCGGTGTGGTTCTTTGGCGTCAACCGAACATCCAGCAACGACCCTACTTGCACGCGCGATGTACAACACGGAAGCGCGAGCACGCACGTAACATTCCCATCCTCCAAACGAAATCAACAGTCTCCAAGTCCGACCCTACAAAAAGTTACTGGCACACATTTCCACGAATTCCATGACACCTTATCCCTTCTTGCCTATATTTACTCGCCATCAATCTTTCAAAATCTACACGCGACGATAAGTTTTCACGAAGCAGGAAATGAAGGAATCATCTGATGGAAACATATGCAAAACCAGATTCAAACTCACCATTTCTAAAATAACCATACAAAGAGGTCTTCCCTTTTTTATGTGCATTGACCATCCGGAGAGGGTATCACATTCTTTTGCCAGAGAGCCCTCCCAGGTATTTCTCTAACGCGTACGCACACGAACGGCTACTCTAGAAAGAAAGGTGAATGTAGATGACACGTTTTGAAGAGAGGGACACACAAAAGACAGGTAGAGCTTCATTCCAACATCCAGAAAAATGCCAAGAAAAGAGTATTCACACATTAAAAGAAAAACTTTTCACGACAATGGTGACGCGTCCCTTCATTAACTCTGCGAACGCAGACACGAAAGTGGGAGGGAGAAAGCGCCATTCGCCTGCCTCGGGAAACGAGACTAAGGACATCAACAGCAGGAACTGTCAAGTGCCAGTACACTCAGCCTCAACATGAAATATTCAGTTTACGAAGACGAAGAAGAAAGTCCTTGGTTCAGGCGACGTCAGCTAACTAAAGGCCTACGTTAAAAGAGTATCACTAAGTGACAAAATCTGAATTAATTTCAGTCACAGAAGTGCATTTCCGTTCTTTTTTGAAAAAGGCTGAGAACGTAAAAGTAAACACAGGAATGTAGGCTCAACTACTTACTCATAAACAAGATTTCTGACTAGCTAATTCAATGAAAACTGAGATAGTACATTAAAAACATTCTTGAGTAGAACGTGCCTAGTCGTACCGTAATGCATTTCATGCTTCCGTCACTCGCATGGAAGTTATCAAAAGAGATCAAACACGCAAGACAATAACTGATATCAATAGCGTATCAAGTTCAATATCTAGAAAGCCAGTACAATAACTTCAGCAACTGTAAGCACTACTGACTTACGTAAGGTAACAAAAAAAAGTCTGTGGGCGACTATAATCGAATTTAAAATATCTTCTGAGAAAGGCGAGAAAGGCAAGAAAGGAAGCAACGTGCACACGCCCCCGACCAATGCGATTTTTGCAACCTTTAGGGCTGGTCAAGGGCGCCCGACGATACCCTTTCGCGCCTCAGTCTCGTGAATTCGATTATACACGCGCCGCGCGGTCTGCATGCGTCGAGCAGTGAGCGAAGCGACTTCTATGAGGCGTGGGGCAGCGATAAGTAAGCAAGCGAGCAGCACGTTCTCTTTTGCGGGGAACGTCGTTCCGATGCATTATACAGCAAGTGGCACATATTTGGTTCGCGCGGAGAAAAATGCATTGCAAGGCACGTTTGCGATGATAAATCTAAGAAAAGCACAACTGCAAATAATAGTTTCTCTAAATTAATGGTTGTAAAAGATTAATAACGACTCTTCGGAGTAATTTCGGCAAATTAAACGTTGAATGCACCGCAATTATAATATATGCATATACTGAATGAATTTGCGATATTATATTCCGACCTTTTTGAGTGCGTACTTCGCCATTAAATTAAAAAAAAAATTGTTTTGCAAAACGTAAATATTAAAAAAATAAAGCATCAATATTTTCTGAAGCAACCGTATGGTTGGCAGGTCGACTTCCCGTCTTCGAAAATGAAACCGAACAGAAAATACAAATTCAAAAACACTTTGACTCTCTAGTCCCCCCCACTTTTTCAAAACTTCTATCAGCCAATTAGAAGATAATCGATGGTTTCAACGACGCGCTATTCAATAAATAAATCGTCGGTGAGCTCCTTCGGAGTACGTCCAGCTTCTACCGCAGCAAAAGGAGAACAAGTCTCGGGGAGGCAATCCCTTGCAACGGGTCATTCCATAGGCAGTGTAGGGGGGGGGGCATGCAAGGGGATGGCTACCCACCAGCGGGGGCGGCGTAGCACGCCAGCACCTCCGCGGCGGCGCCGAAGCGCTGCTCCACCCGCGTCCGCCGCCACGGGGGCGACGTGTACACTGCAAAGCACACGGGCCCCGCGCTCAGCACACGCTCCGCTCCACGCCACGCCACAGCGGGGACTGGCCGCCTGTGGAGGTTAGGGCTCCACGAACAGCTAATGTTAACACGACTACGTGGGGAGTGGCTATCGCCACACCCCCGCCAAGAAACCCGGTTCTCCATGACTTGAAGCTTCGAGAGGAATTGGAATTCGTGGGTAGGATGGAGACTGGATAAGGAGAAAATCCTCTTCTAAAACCAATGAATCGCAATTATTCAATCGGCATACTATAATCCTGTTGAGGCGAACACTTTTCGAGCGATCCACTCGTTTCTGAAATAAAATTTCAATGGGTATCGCACGTACCTCTAGTATAACGATAGAAACACGAACAAATTAATGAATCGGATTGCTATTCAATGGCACTAACCACTTTATCTTCGACGAATAACGAGAAACATTAACTCACCAATCGAAAGCAATAAAACAATATTTTATGGAGAATTAGATAAATTATTTTGTCTATCAATCTAGAGGGGAATCGAAGGTACTAATCATTTCATTATTTCTTTTGACAGCAACGAATTGAGGCAAGGGTCGTAACTAATCAGAAGTTTATTTCGAAAAAGCAGGCTTTATTTGTTTTATTTACCAGTTTCAATTTCGTTGCCAATTTTTCATGCACTAAAGTTCGAGTACTTCGTACGTAGAGGCAACGTGTAAAAGGTCGTTGACCGGCTTGCTCTCTTCCGGGAACGAAATGGGCATTTCCCAGTCCTTCCTACCCGCCCCGCCCCTTCAGATAACGCATCGGCCGCCCAATGGCCAGTCACCCACTCAAGCGCTCCGCGGATATTGGGAATCGAATATTCCAGCCATCTCACAAAACACAGCACCCACGCGGCGAAGCAGCAGGACTAGAAAGTAACAATCCATAGCAGTGAAACCCTAAATTTGGATTCTCGCGACCAAGTCATATTCGTACCATTTTCTTTTGAGGAAACAAATTGCCTCTTTGGATGGACGACCAACAGGAAAGCAGGATTGAGTGGGAATCAAATAGACCAATTATTTTTATACGCACCTTTCGGGGCTGGGCCTTGCTGGATATTCGGTTTCAGTGTCTGAAAAAGAAAGTCAGCATTCCATTATTCTCTAACAAAAGCGGAATAAGACAATCCTTCCAATGCGAGACTAGCAACTTAACCAAACGAGCCAGGGAAACCTCATGTGCTTTTGAGTTTTTATGTTTTCGTATATTGTCGGCGAGCTCTGCGGTAAGAGCATTTATGCCGATAATTTCTTAAAAACAAAATTAGAATAAAAAGATATAAGACGAATAATGCAATGCCATTACGTGAAACTAGTAATATTCAACAATCTTATGAAAACGTGTTACTTGAAATATTCATAAACTTTTCCTCATGCCAAGGTACATTAGAGCCACATGTGGATGTGATCGACCAACTAAACTCTTAAACCAATAATCACTTCTCTTCCAGAATGTTGAACATTAATATTAATATCTTTTAATATTTTTAGTATACCAGAATTTAAAATTATTAAAATCCTTGTATTGGCACATGAAATGATTAGCGAAACTGCCAAACACATTAAAACATTTTAAAATTCTACAATACATTGAAAATAGGTATTAAAATGATTTCATATTTTAAATTTTTACAGGTTCTCCATGATGACTCAACAGTTGGCAATTCGAGTAGTATCTCACTTTTTTTCACCATAAGCTATGTTAAGTTTCAGAATTAAACTTTGTAAGAGCATCAGGCCCGCATGCATGGGTCAAGATATCCGACTTGAAATCAGGACATCATTCCTGACAAAGAAAATTAAGGCTCGCTCATCAGACACAAATTTAAATATTAATTTTACATCCAAGGAAAGCTATAGAAATGTAGTAAAATGTGCTATCAAATGTGAGAAACACTGTCAGTTTCCCTGAGCCCAAAGGTGATAAATAAACTAAGTTAACGGGTGCAACTAGTGAGATATTATAGTGGATATCTATTAGTATAAGAACAAATGTATCTTTTCAGTATTCTGAAATATTTAGAATATGCTATCATAAAGCTGTCACCCAATTTTTATATCAAAAATATATATATCTCCAATAACATTTGATCACTGTTGAAAAAGAGAAACGCTACTAAAATGATGGGGTAGAGCACTTTTCATTTAGCATCCGAGATTTTTTTTGGATTCAAAAATAAATAAAATTAACATTTGTACATTAGAAAACTAGTTAACACTTTATGAGTGAAGGTACAACAAACAGACACTTTCGTGGTACAGAATTGACCATAATTCGGAAATCTACAGGGAGAAAAGGCAGCAAATACATACTTATTACCAAAGGGAATGGGATGGGAGACACTTATATACATATGTACACAACACCTAATATAAAATAATATTGTAAAACTGGCTGAAAAAAGAAAAAAATGTACGGAAATTAAATGTACAAAAGCACCAGCAGCGACATACGATAAAATAAAAAAAATAAAAATAGGTGCACTGGCTAAAGAATTCAAACCAAAACCAACGGAAGCAGCAACTCAAGAGGCGGGCGTTTGTGCGTAGAAGCCATAGGGAGACCCAAGCGAACAGACTGCGCCTGCGGCCGCCGCCTCCGCCGTCGCCGCCCGCCGGGCTCGCTCATCGGGGGGAAGGGGGAAAGGGGGAAATGGAAATCCACGGGGAGCAACTTCCAGCACACCGCTGCACTCGGCGAAAAACTTTCAAGCTTTTCCCCTCGCAAACTTTCTATCGGTAAAAAAAAGGCATGGGAAAAGTTTGCAATTATTTTCACGAATGCAATAATTTCATAATGGGTTCACTGCATATACAAGCATTTACATACATTCGGTTGAAAGGTCGTAAAATAATCTTTTAAGTGAAGCATAATTCCCGGTTGGCATTGATATTTAGTAACAAAAGGTAAAATACACTAAACAATGAGCAATGAATCGTTTTAGAAAAGAATTCCAGCGTTTTGAAAAACGATATCACAATCATACCGAACATTATAAAAGTGACGTGTTTAAAAATCAAAAAGCACCGTCAATTTTTAACTTAAAACGTTCATCATACGTGAATTGTATTTAGGTGATCGTAATTTAAGCCAGAAGACCTTTACTATTTCCTAAACCCTGATTTATGATGCCAATTCTATGAATGTGTGAAATAAATACAACGGGCTTTTGTTCGAGTCAGGTCGCACCGCCTTCGCCGAGTGCAGGGGCGGGGGGAGTGGGGTGGGCCGCGGGGCCTGGGGGTGACAGGGGTGGAAGGAGGAGGGGGGGGGGTGAAGAGCTTCGCGAGGTTTGGGCGGGGGGCGGGGGCGGCAAGGCACCCGGCGCGGGCTACAAACCGAGCGCGAGGAGGGGACCGCGGATGGGCCAGCGTGGCCGACAGCGGCTTCTGCTGGCTGCGGGCGCGCGCGCCGAGGGTGTCGGCCGCGTTGTTATGGTTCTGGAAGATCGTCGTCCATCTCCCTCCAGCAGCTCCCCGCCGCTTGTCCTCGTTACTCATCCCTCTCCTCGTCCGACGGCTCCTGCGCCAGGGGTTAGTGGGCGCGAGCACCTCACCACGCGGGCGGGCGGGGAGGGACGCAGTAGAACGCAATTAACTCATTACACGGCATTTTTAAGTTTCCCGCGCTCCCGCACATGACAGAACCCCCCCCTCGGCAGCAGGACTTAGTTTCGAGTCTCTCTGTAGTTCGAGATATTTGTAAGTCAATAACTTCTCGCTGGCAGACTGCGTTTCTTTTTATTCCCAGTAACATTTGATGCACTAGTGTTGCCGTCACATTCAATACAATTAAAGGAGGCACCAAGGGAAAGTACTTAACTCTAGTTTTTCAGGGTGGCCACTCATTTTCTGGAACACATTACCTCCGACTTTTCCCGGAGCATTTTAATTTTTATATTTTCTTGAGAAGATTTGTAATTTGACACGACTTAAAGAAAACAAAGCTGCCTTGATACTAAATGTTCAGTTCTTTGATTTCGCGTGACAAAGTACAAATTGCCAATATTTTCTCACCAAATAATAACACTGAACTAATGTTTTAATGAATAAATATCTAGTTTTTATAACACTCTCAAAAATGTCCATGACTAACGATTCTTGAAGAAATTCCCTGATTTTTCCCACTTTTCCAGTGGCCACCCTGTTTTGTTGAAATTTATATAGTTTACCCTAGAAAAAGACTTTCTCCCAAAGATACTGAGGCACCTGAGAGCAAACAAATTGGCGTTTTTAATGCCACCTTGGCAGCGACAAAGTAATAGGAAACATCGGATCAATATTTAAAGATAACACACTGGTACGGCCATTTTCCTCTCAACGTTTTACGAACCCTTGTATATTTTACGCCAGACCCGTTATCTTTAAATGTGAAATGAATGAAATACGATATACACTGTTCAACGTTCACGTTAAACCTTCGGGCTTAATTTTATTCCATATTAAGTAAACTATGTTAAAAGCTATTTTGAAGTAATAATTAGTCATGTAATCAAATATTAACAATAGATTTTGTTTACTTCTATCTTTAACTCGATAAATCCTCCCTCTGAAGGGTTGCTGCCTAGCAGCACAACCATCTCCTTACCCCTGCCATATGATTCCACAAAGAAACCAATATTTAAAATTTGTAGAATCCACCCAAAAACAAATTTAAAAAAAATTAACTGAAACGAAAATTCTTTAAACGCAACTTGAGGCAATAACTTATCAATCCATTTGCCATCGAATAATTCAAAAGAGATCAAAGAAAAAAAAGGAGAACATACAAGTCCACGGAAAGCCACGCCTATGGTAGAAGGCCTCAAAGGCTAATGCAAAAAAACTGAAATATTACTATGAGACCAAACGAAGAGAGTCATCTTTTCACCATTAAATTAGAATTTCGACGCCAAAGAAGCTAAGGCGAATGAGAAGTGACGATGGGGGTGGGGCCCTGGCACGGCCGCACAAAAGGCGCGCGGGCGCTGATGAATGGCTGCGCGGCCTAGGGTCTCGCGTGTCGGCGCCGGTGCTAGCGCCACCGGTCGATGATTTTGGTCGCAGGAGCGACTTTTCTGCTTCCTCCTCGCCCGGCTTAGTGAACCGCGCCAATGCGCATCGTCACTTTCTCTAGCAACGACGAATCCAACCGATGAACTAGCGCGCAAATTCTTTGTATCTGGGGGCGGGTTATTGTTATTACATTGACAAAAATGTCCTTGTAAGTAGGTCAATCGAACAAATTTCAATGATTTCGTGTACGCTTGACACTACAAGACAAAAACGTTGGTAGAGCTTGCATTTTCTTCGTTCACGTCTTTGATTATCTGGGAGTTCACAAAAGAAAGATAATCTTAAGCAAGCACATAGTTTGCAGGTAGTGGGCCAGACCTAATATTTCCTCATTTTAAGCTAGTTTAAAAAATGCCTTAAGTTCGACAATTACACATTTTAGGAACAATTGCATTTACCAACGTTCAACCCCTAATAGAATTCAATCATGAATAATACATAAATTTTAAAATAACCTTACAGTAACAAATTATAATTAGGTTTGAAATTATTTCAATGTATAAAGAGAACAAGATCACCAGTACTGAATCGAAATACTCGTTCTACAGCAAGAATAGATACTGATTGGAGTATATACATTATGTAATAGGTACCACATTCACTTACTGTAGTATCTTCACAATAGATTATTAGCATTATTTTGCTCCCCCCTCCCCCTATTTGGCAACTAATATTTTTCCTTACCCGTTTTTCACAACTATTGCTGATGGTCCATAATGCACACGGGCATCAGGAATCAAATGCATGTAGTATATACAAGTTCCTCGTGATTATTTTATAATACCATTAACAAATACTTCCATGCACGCAAAGGAACTGTAGAGCATTGAATAGTAACGACAAACATTTTGGGCAGAGCACTTCGGGGGAACACGGGGAAGGCGTAAAGATCATCTACTCGTGCGGCCGCCCACTACCTGCACACCGGGGCGCGGCGCCGCCGGCCGCCACGCCCGAAGGTGGGCCGTTTGGCGGCGGCGAGGGGCGGCCCAGCGGCGGCGCTGCCCGCGGCGGGCCGGCGCTCACCCGCCCCCCCGCCGGCCCGGCCCCGCGGCCACGGCGGCACCAGCGGGGCGTCAGCCGTCCCAGGCGACGGGGGGCCCAGGCCCAAGGTCCCCCCATTGGGGGGAGGGGGCGGTGGTGGCCTCGCAGGTGACGGACGGCTGGCCAAGGGCAGGCATCGTCCGAGATCGCTCGCGAAGAGCTTCGCGGCGCATCGGCCACTTCCTGCGGGGCACAGCGCCGCACCACGCGCTTCGCACGCACAACATCCGCGCCACCGCACTCGGCGTACTTCCTATCTTCCCCAGAAAGTACACGGGCACAGCAACTGTGCCATTTTAACATACATTCCAGTGTTCTTCTTGCGACTCCTTTTCGCAATTTTCGCAGTTTGAAGACTGATCACATCCTGTGATTTTCCAGCGGAATTACACAAATCTTACGATCCCGTAACGAACCGTTTATTCGCCTAGTGAAACTGTGTAGTTCTAGGTAAGTATATCTTTCATTCTATATTAAAACAAGGAGTTCGTCTTCATATTACCTCTAAATGATGTACATTCTGGGAATTCACACAAAAAAATTAACGGAGTTAACATATTAACTGATGAAATATGTGAATTACCATGCAGTTTTGCACATCATATTTTTCCAACATTTCTTTAGAAATCTTCGCTCCAAATGTAATCTCTCGAAAAAAAATTTCTTCGTTGAATTTTACCCCAACCTATTTTACCTTTAGCTACACTACGGATCCAACAATTCTTACTTAAAATATTATACCTCAAAGAGATTTTTGCAGATTTTTCCCGCTAATACACAATGTTACCGATTTATTTGACTGGCGTGACACTACTTTCCGTTCAGATAAAATTTATGACAGTGGGATGACAGTCATTGCATTGCCTCCTGTTTATAATCCATGTAGCTACCACTTCTGTTTACGAACACACCTGCCTGTGTCAATAACCCTCCCAGTGCAACATAAACATGACCCCTGATCTCTGACCCAAGTAAGAACGCATTGTAACAGCTTTAGCACACCAAGATGAATCACTCAAGTGCTCATTTCCAATCAATGTCATAACGTGACTGGGTAAATAATATCGCATTTTGACGGCGAACACACCAGTCACCAACTACACCACCAACATCCCAGCCCAGCCGGGAGGGGGGCCGCAAAGCGCGCGAACGCCATCAGTCAAGACCAAGCGGGAGATGTTAGTGAGCGAGCAAGCCCTGTCGCAGCGCATCGCGCCAAAGCCGAAGCCGTACCTGGTACAGGGGCACGAAAACATCGACAGGGCATCGAGAGCCAACGTCGCGCGACAAAAAGCGTTGGCTAGCGGCGCGCCGCAAAAAACAATGCCTGTAGCCCCCAACAATCGCTAGCAGCAACTGCAGCCGCGGAGAGTGGGGGGGGGGGGGTATGTAGGCCGCACGGCACTGAGGCGCCGAGGCCAGAGGAGGTGGCGCTGGGCGCGGAGAGGGGTCGAGGCGCGGGGCGAAGCTCACCTCTCTGGAGCGTGGGATACGCCCGCGGTTGGCCTGCAGTTCGATGACCGGCGGCGCGGGCACCAGGTCGGGGTTCAGCACCAGCAGCGTCTCGATGTCGATCTGCAACAGCCACACGATGGAGGTTCAACTACCGTCTCGCTTACGGAGAGACCGTCTGCCGTCTGAGCGATACTGGCTCATATAAAGGGCTTATGCTATCTGCATTCACATTCATTTCACAATCTGAGAACGCCAGAAAACCCCATTTTCGACTTCCATCGGGTTAAAATTGTTCTAAAAAATGACATTTTTTGTTAAGTCACTTGTCGATATATTGTTTTTGTTACGATTTCTTCAATGCAGCTGTAAAGGACAATACATTGGAATAGTGCTAGAAAACAAAATTATTAAAAAAATAATAAATAAAAATATTTGATTCAAATAAGATGTGTTTAAATTGTATTAGATGTTTTTTACTTTAAACAAATCGTTAAGTGATTTATTTATCCTTAAATACTTTAAAAGCAGAAAAAAGTTCATCACAACACCACTAGTTAAATTTATTATTAAGAATTGTAATTTTATGAGGTGTCCGGTGTAATACCACCTTAACACACAAAGAATTAAACTTTAGTTATAGATTCGTACTCTTGAAACATTTCTTGCGTGCACATTACCGAATAAGCTTGTGGCACTATCTATATGCATGATTTAGAAAAAAGGGATTCATTCAAACAAATTTTACGATTTTTTGTGCAATACCGCCCTAATCAAAAGCACTTATTGTTGAAAACTGAATTCATCGAAAAACGTAAAACTATGTTTGACAGTTTTTGAAACATAAAAATTCTATTTAATAGTTTTCCTGTTATCGAAGAAATGGGATATAGTGGTTGTTACTTGCGCATATTCCCATTAACACTAAGTCAAAAGTATGCTTTCCACTCAAAACAATTTTATCCATATACACACAAAGAAAAAGTCTTAATAATATTAAAGTAGTAAGTCATCATGAGTAGTAACAATGTTAATTTTGTTATTTAAATAAGTATTAATAAAATTTCAAGTACTTGAAGTGACTTTAGCAAACTTAATACAAATCTAGAATTATATATGCACACCGATGAAGCATTTTTTCTCTATACTAGCTCTGTGTGTGTTAGGGCGATATTGCTGCTAATTGAGATGTTATCTACAGTCAATATATTTTGGATAAAAACTAATTGGTCATCTAACTATTAGCATATACCTATTACAAATTGTTTATTGCTCTTTGTGTCAGTATCATGTTCATTTTATCGAATATTATATTGTATTTTTTCTCAATATTGTTCAATTATGTGAAAAAGTATAAGGAATATAATACATTCTTTATATCAACTTCATTTTAACATTTTGATTGAAATTTTTATTTTACAAACATTGAACATATAAATATATTTTCAGGTATTACAAATACATATTGATTTAAATAATTGTTTTTTAAAATAATAATTTGATTTAAATCATATTAGACTTTCGTTGGAAAACATTTACATAGCTTTAAATGACAAAGCATTTTTGGGTCTAGATTGCACTTTTCGATTTTCACTGTGCATTCATACGTCACGGAAGCATTCATTCAGGAAACAAAATCGTATGTTAATTTAACATATTTGCAATGTTATCGACAATTATTCTACAAATAATTACATAAAAGCAATTTTTCGTGATATTTGTTAAAAAGAAGTGCAACACACCCGCTTTATTCCACACCAAGTGGCGCTTAGGTTCTTGACTAATGCATTATACAATACATAATTATAAATGGTAATAAAAGTGTTACTTCGGCATAAGAATAGTTTACATTACAGTAATATCCACTTCGTTGTGCAACTTGCCAATTATTGTGTAGAAGAAACTAAGAATTATAATTTATATCTAGCCACAGAATGTTCATTTGCATTTTCCCCGGCAGCAGTTATTTTATTCAGAATCAAAAAAATGAGAGTTCACTTCCAAACAACGTTAAATGTTTATAGCATCTACCATTCGGATATAGATACAGATTGCGTTGCCTTTTCTGGATGCTTATATCACTTAGAATTTAAGTAAGATGCACAGATACCAAATTTATAATTTATACTCTACAAGAAGGTTGGAATATCCCCCCCCCCCACACACACACCACACACACTGGCTATCGCCAATAGCGATACATTGAGTACGATATTTGGAAACGTGAAGCAAATCTACATTGTTCACCATTAAGAATTTTCTTATCAAGGTCAAGTTATTTTTATTGCGACGGGAGAAAATTACAATGCGATCAATTTTCAACAGAGAAATATTAATATGCCCCCTCATTCAATAAAGCGTAAATCGCGATTCAACAAATAAATTAACTTAAAATGTTCATTTCAGAGACAAATAACGTATGCATCTTCCATTTAATTTTTTTGATGTGTATAATGCAATGTATACGTATACGTACTTTTCTACTGACTAGAAAACAGAACACAAACTTGAGGAAATGTAATGCAGTACAGAAATATTTCAAATACACTGAAAATGCAACGCACTCACCTCCTTCCCTTTGGCTTCCCCTCGCTCGAACCACTCGACGGTTACACTGTTCGTGTCGTAGTTGATGCCCGATATGACAGCAGTGTGGATGCGGCCTGGAACAAAACAAACGCAGAATTAAAAAAGCACGGGGCGAAGAGGAGGGGATGGCAGGACGTTCGATAAGCAGCTCAGTTCAGCTCACTCGACACGCCACCTTTGCAGGAAAGTGGATCAAAGAGTTCGCACGCGAGCCTGGCAGTGGAAGCAGCATAATTCCATAGTTTTGGCTTGACCGTTTGAACTGTCGAAGCACACAAGGCTTTAATATTGAAAATCGCTTTATGTAGAACCTTTCATTGGCTCTCTTTGAGGAGAGGCTAGTAATACCAACTATTTTCTGAACATCCATAAAACCAGGAATAAAACTGGGAAAAAAAACACTGTCGAAGCATTGACGTAGGTAGTACAAATCTTTCGTCCACAAAACGCCAAGAAAAAATAGTTGGAAGTTACATACGACTAACATTTAATTATTTTTAAATTCTAAGTTACTAATTTTCGTTCAAGATTCAAACTAACAATAGATACAGGATTCATGAATATTTTCCACAGTATAATTTCCGATCTCACATTACTTTTCCGGCATTATGTACTCGCGCGAACGGATGACATTCATTCAAATCCCACGCAGATGATTTCCCCCAAAACCACGCAGAGTACCGTCGTTTCAAGACTGACTCAGCGGGTGGCCCCTGGCGTTTGCGCGCAGTGAACCGTCACGCAATCTCTTCCACGCGAGACCAACCCACAAAAGCGTTCTAATGTTCACCGCGAGAGCGCTGGAAATATGATTATCAATGCGAGACTAACACAATGTAAATTTTAAGAGATTTCAGAAATCTTCGTTATGTATTTAATGTTTAAAAGGAAACGTTTTTCTTTTGGAAGAAAAAAAAAGCCGTTCTACATACAAGTTCAAAGCATTTACGAACGAAAAGTAATTCACAACTTACAAAATACAAATTGTAGAAAGAAAATCATTCAAGAATTCCTAAAACGTCGCTAAAAGTACAAAGAGAAATCGATTAATAGCTATGGATCGCAGTGTTTCTCGTATGAAACGGCAAACATAAGTACGAACAACCATTCAACCATTGCCTAGGTCAAGAAGCGCAGTAAACTAACTCTTCTTTCATTCTTCCCCGTGTTTCGGGGTTTTTGCCCCAGCGAGCGGTGCGTGACGCCCATTGCGCAGCTGCGACCGGAAGCCGTGGCATGCCTGGCGATCGCTGCGGGGGCGTGACTCAGCCCGCAGGCGCTCGACACGCCGACGATGCATCTACACTTCACCACACGCATACAACACTACACAACATAAATAAAATTACACGTTTTTTCCACGTTGCGCTTGCGAGAGAAATTGAGTCACGGCGCAACGAAAAATCCAGATACATTTAACTTTGCTCTCACTCCGTAGAATTACTGCACTCTCACATGCTCCGTATTATTTTGTCCTATAAAACCTACCAGATACGGAAGCTTTTCAAAATTTCGGTATGGAGGATATCAATTAGAAATTATGACATCTCACTGAAAAGTAATTCGAAAGAGTATTTGCAGCTCTAACAAAGAACGATATAGAAATAAAGTGTGGCCAACCCGCAAACTCTCCAGCCACCATATCTAACCATGAACGATGGCGGCTTTCATTAGGGAGGTACGAGGATCCTCGCCGCCGCGTAGGCGACCCGGGCCAGACGGAGACACTGCGGCTGGCTGCGTCGTCTGTGATGCCGTCGGCGGCAACAGAAGCGGCGCTGGGCCGTAGGGCAAGCGCAGAGGCAGCCCTCGACGAGAAACTGGCGCGCGTCCACGCCAACGAGAATGCGCAGGCGGTGGAGGCGGTGGGGTGGGCGGCGAGGGTGGAGCAGGCGGTGTGGCGGCCGAGGGAGACGCGTACGTGTGCTGATGGAACGCTGTATTGTAATGGAGAGGATTGCGGCGCTGCTGGGGCGGCCGCCGCTGGTGCAAGAGTGGTGCGCGTGGAACGCGGCGCACCGCTGGTTCTGAAGCTGTTGGGGACGGCGGTTTGCGGCGCGGCCACGCACCGACCGGGCGAACGCCACGGTCCGTGCCAGGCGCACACGAATTCGAAGGGTGCGGGCGCTGGCGTAGCCACTGCGGTTCTCTGAGCCACAAACACGAGGAACGAGGGAGATGGAACCGGCAGGCGCAGTAGGTGGGTGAGCGGGCGATCGGGAGCGGGATTGGGATTGGGATTGAGAACGCGAACGGGGCCGTCTCTTGAAAATCGGCGACGTGCCCCGCGAAACGGGCGTCGACGGTCCCGATGGAGTAAGCGGGGACAGTAGTCCAGCTTCCGAGTCTAACACAGGGGGTGATTTGGAGTGAGAAGATACACAAGGCGATAGCAGCAGCGGCGTAGACGTAGTAGACGGTAGAGACCCTGAGCTCTTAGCAGCCTGAAGATGTAGCGAGTCCGATCGCTTTGATGAAGAAAATTGTGGAGATTGCGTGCTTTTCGTTCCCACAAGCGATGGCAAGGCAAAAGGTGAAGTTTCAGGAAGCGGGCACTTCAACGCACGTTCTCGGTTGAGCTTGCGCAGCAAAGCGGGGACAGGCGGCGACAGTGGTGGCTTGGGAGGGGAGGGGTCATCGGCGGGGCCGTCGAGCGGTGGAGACGGCAAGCTCTTCGATGGGCTGAAGGGCGACGGCAGGCGCTGGTCCACAGGGCGTGTAGGTGACGATGAGCGCCTCCTGGCGGATGCGTAGCTGGCCGGCGAGCGCTGAGGTGAAAGAGCGGACGGCGTCACCCACGAGGCGGACGCGGGGTCCGGTGCCTCCAGGCCGGGCAGTGGCGGCAGCTCCCCGTCCGACGAGGGTTCAGAGTCGGACGCGGCCGTGATGGGCGTAGGGCACTCGGAGCTGCGTGGCGCGGAGGTACGCCGCCGCCGCTGTGACACCGGGGTCTGGCGCGGCGACAACGACGGCGAAGGCGACGACTCGCGGGAGGATGTGCCGGCGCCAGCGGATGGCGGCAGGTCAGGGCGCGTGGCTGACGGCGAGCTATCGGACGTCAGGTCGCTCGCGGGTGTATCGGGGTCGGCTGGACATCCCGGATCGAACTCTGGGCAAGGCTGCCCCGCTTTCGTTCTTCTCTCTCCCGCCGCCTTGTCTGCGCTGCGCTCGCCCCTCGCCGCCGCTGCCGTGGGAGGGGCGCCGCCTTCGCTGCCGGCCTCCGCCGCCTTGTCGCCAGAGGGCACCGCCGTGGGGGCGGGTATGAGGTCGGCTTGCGGCGCGCGGTCTCCTTGGGCGGCGGCGGCGGCGGCGGCGCAGCGTGCCCGCGCTGTCCGCCGCCCGGGTGCACGCGCACAGCCTGCCAGCCACGCCATGGCGCGCGACGGGGCGCTGCCGCGGCGACGCGCCCGCGACAATCGCCCTCCGCGGGCGGGCGGAGCCGCTCCGGCGTCGCCGTCGCCACCACATGGCGCACGGACGACGGCTCACACGCAGCGCCCACGTGTTGGTAGCAGACCGCCGTGTGGCGCTCATCCGCCTCAGCCACGGAGGAGCCCGCGCGCGCACTGCGATGCTCCGGGCCGCTTCCTTCCCCACGCGCTGCGCCGGGCCGCGCCGCCAGGAACGAACGGGACGCGCGCGGCCCATAAACCTTATGGGCGGAGCAGTCTCCCCCTCGCGAGGCTCCCAAGCGGCAGCGGCGGCGGAGAAGGAGAGGCGGCGCAGGCCGCGACGGCTCCGGCCGGCCCCAGCCCCGCACCTGGCACGCGATGCAGGCCGCCCGCCGCGCACAAGCCAACTGGGTTTGGGGTCGCATGGAAATGCAACACCTTGCGCGCGCAATTCTGGCGGCCTGCTTTTCCATCCGCCTTCTCTCTTCGCTGGCCCGCTTCCACTAATCTAACGCAAATTTGGGAAGGAACGCTCATTCTCTCCACATTTTCCCCGATTCTCATTGTCGTAACGTATATAAAATCAATACATTATTAATTTTATTCAATATTATATTAGTTTGTTAAGTTGAATGCAAAAATACATGTTTTAGTACACTACTAACGTTGAAATATAATTTAAAACGATAAATGCGTACAGTGTTCTGAAAAAATAGCAGTCCAAGTAAATATCCCTGGTGAATGCACAATTGTTTCTATCGCTTTCAGAGAAATAATTAGTTAAAACTCTTTTCGTAGTAACTAGCATTGCAAAATGAACTCTAAGAAAGTGGTCTGCAATTAATTTCATAAAATAATGAAAGAAATGCAATTAATAGAGATGTGTTTAACACACCGATTTTTCCGCTGGCCTATCTATATTTCTAGGTTCCACGAAGTAAAAATAGAGCGTAGTTTTATGATCCACTCTATGTAGAAGCAAGCAGCGTCACTTCTGGCTGACCTGTTTCCATTTTCTCCACGCCCACGAATGGAAAGGTTGTGAACCCTCCAGAGCAACAAATGTTAACTGGTTCTTACGAATCATAAACACATCCTTTGCAAATCTCTTGCTCACACATTTAATTTGGGCTTTATTTACATTTGTTGGGATATTTTATGTTAGTCCGATTACCTTATTTACAGAGAAGTCTTAGAAAAACGGATCTAATTCAAAACAAAAGTAGTCTTCAACATAGAAGTTGAAAAGAGTCGCAAAATAAATAAATTTTTAAAAATAGTACAAGAATAAAAAGTTTAAACTATGCTAGATTCGAGTATCCAGGGAGTTGAACAAAATGCTACCAGAATCAATTTAACGCATTTTTTAATCTATCCTAGATATTATTTTAAAAAATGGAGTTTTTTTAGAAAATTTTGAAAATATCTTGAGTTTGCGGAAAGTGCCCCAAAAATCCAAATGTTTCAAATTTCCAAGTCCGTGAATTCGGCCACATCGATCGGGGAATGTCAGTTTTGGAAAATATCAATACCCAAATCGTTTATCACAAAACTGGATTGTGACTGCACGACGTGCTAGAGGAAATAGGTTACCATGAACAGGAACAAGATACACTTTTTCCGTATTAGGGCCCACTATACGAGTTTACCTGACAAAACCCATTTTTTGTCCCAGCGTTACA